ACCTGCGGACGGCCGCCCCTCTGTGCCCACACCCTCCCGGGGTCTCCGTCCTGATCCCCTCTTACGGGGGCACCAGCCAGATTAGGTCATGGGCTCCATGTTAACTTCGTGGCCTCTGTATACACCCTGTCTGCAAACACAGTCACGGGCTCAGGTGCTGGAGCTTAGGCTTCGACGTGTGAATTTGGGGAGGGACAGCCCACGACAGGGAGCCTCCAGGCTGGCCTCCCTCCCATCGGGATCTCCCTCTCCCCGAAGCTTCTGAACCTCCGGAGGGCCCATCTGGGGCCGAGGCCATTACGACCGGTGGAACTGGTTGCAGCTTGCCTGGAGAGCCGGCTGGGTCAGGCCAGGGAGGCGTCTGTCCGCAGAAGGACCCGAGGATCCCCGAGGAAGGACTCAGGTAAGGACAGACGTTCACAGGCACTGGGGATTCTAAGTTGGGTGTGGGGCAATTCAGTTTCTCTTCCAGGCCGGACCCCCACAGCCTGCTCTGCTCGTCCTCACAGGGCCCCCGGGGAAACACCAGCGAACAGGGGCCCTGCTCACAAAGCAATGGCAGGCCGCTGGGCCCCGTGCTGGGCTTGGGATTGAACCCCGCACGGGGCTGGGGGGCTCTCTGCAGGGCAGGGGCGGTAGCAGTCCCCACCTGCCCCCGCAGGACCCCACGTCTCCCTGAGGGATGAGGCTGTTCCCAGAGCCACCTGGCCCCTGACTCACCTGACTCACACCTGGCCCCGGGCAGGACTGTCACAGGTGACTCAGAGCTGCCTTCAGAGCTCCCACCCCCTCACAGCCTCCCCCAGGCCAGGGCGGAACCCCTCGCTCCCACCGATCCCATTCCCACCGACAGGGAAGGCACTGGTTCCCATCCAGACGGATTGGGCCAAGCTAATGACTTGAATAGAGAAGGTTGGATGCAAATACTCGTGTAGATACAAAATGGCTAACTGGGTGACTAAAAGGTAAAAAACGGAGGCTGAGGGAGCCAAGGGAAGAGGCCGGGATGTAGAGAGGGGCTGGGGGCCTGGGACCCCAACCTCGGAGGAGGGGGCTCCCGCCGGTGCTGGTGTGTCTGAAGTGGGGAAAAGCCTGTCACCTCGACCTGCTGCCTCTTGGATCCTGAGTATTTCTGTAGCATCTTCCTGAGAACATAACTCACGTTCGCGCTGAAAGAAACACATGCTTTTTCGGTTCCTTCACACTGCATTTGCAGCAGACCCTGCCAAGGGTGAGAAATCTGGGCGCCCATTCAGATGACTCTAGAACCCGAGTCTGACCTTTCCCGTCTCCTGTGACTTCGCCTTGTGTGATGGTTAATTTTCTGTGTCAGTCTGATGGGGCCGAGGGATGCCTGGATTTCCTGGTGAAACATTCTCTCTGTGCGCGTCTGTGTTTCTGGAAGAGACGAGCACAGACTGACTACGGCGGGCCACTTTCCCCGGTGTGGGCGGGCCTCACCCAGGCCTCTGAGCGCCTGGACAGGACAGAATGTGGAGGAAGGAGAAATTCGTCCTCTCTGCTCAGAGAGAGAGCTGTTGGATATCAGTGCTCCTGGCTCTTGGGGTTTCCAGCATGCAGAGGTGTGATTCTGAGACTTCTCAGCTTCCATAACTTTGCAAGCCAGTCCCTCAAAATAAATGTCTTCCTATCTATCTATCAGTTCTGTTTCTCTGGAGAAATCTGGTTGATAAACCAGCAGGGTCTTGCCTTGGTCTGACATCCCCTGCCTGTGGCCAGGAAGCTGGGTTAAATATAATAATCAGGGCTGGGTCCCCGTGGCACAGGATTTGCATTTAGTTGCCGGCATTTGATGAGGGTTCTAGGAGACAGTGGGAACTTCCATCCTTACCCACATCGCTGTGAACCGCTGGAGGTCACCTCGCCCTGACACTCAGCCACAGCTGTAAGACCAGTGTGGTGACACCAGCCAGTGGGTGTGGGCCAATACTGCGTAATACTGTGGCTGTCCAGCATAGGTTATGAGGAGCTTTGTTTTCGGACAATGAGACTGTCAAAACTCACTTTATAGAAGAGTCCAGAAAAGATGGTTTTCCTGCTTGGTGGATCAGAGAGACCCAGCAGGGAACAGCACAAACTCCAGTTAGGATAGCGGAGGAGGGCGTGCTCAAGGGGCTGGTTCCGAAGGTGGCGTATGCAGAGTGGAGAAGCCACGGGCTCATGTAGCGTCCTGCACTCACCGCTTCAGAGACCCTGAGTTGCTGGGAGAGTGGTCAAGCGGAGGAAGAGAAAAAAGGCCGAGAGGTCCTCTGCCCAGTTTTTAATCGGATTATTTGTTTTTTGGTGTTGGCTTATATAAGTTCTTTATGTATGTTGGGTATTAACCCCTTATCCCAGACGTCGTTTGCAAATATCTTCTTCTATTCTGTAGGTTGCTTTTTGTCTTGTTGATTGTTTCCTTCACTGTGCAGAAGCGTTTTATCTTGATGAAGTCCCAATAGGTCCTTTTTGCTTTTGTTTCCCTTGCCGCTGGAGACCTACCTAGAAAAATGTTGCTAAAGCCACTGTCAAAGAAACGACTGCCTATGCTCTCTTCTAGGACTTTTATGGTTTCAGGTCCCACATTTAGGTCGTTAATCCATTCTGAGTTTATTTTCGGGGATGGTGTAACAATTTTGGGTAGTTTCATTCTTTTGCATGGAGCCGTCCAGTTTTCCCAGCACCATTTGTTAGAGACTTTTTTCCCATTGCATATTCTTGATTCTTTTGTCATAGATTCATTGACCAAATTGATATAAACGTGGATTTATTTCTAGGCTCTCTATTCTGTTCCATTGATCCACGTGTCTGTTTTTGTGTCAGTATCTGCTGTTCTGATTTGTAGTATATCTTAAAATCTGGAACTGTGATGCTTCCAGCATTTTCTTCTTTCTTGACGGCTTTGGCTATTTGAGGTCTTTCGTGGCAAAGAGACACATGAAAAGATGCTCAGACTCACTAGGGAGGTGAAAATCAAAACCACAATGAGATCATCAGCTCACACCAGTCAGAAGAGCTAGCATCAAAAAGACAAGAGACAACAGGTGTTGGCGAAGACGCGGAGAAAGAGGGAGCCTCTCGCACTGTTGGTGGGAATGCAAACTGGTGCAGCCGCTCTGGAAAACAGTATGGAGGTCCCTCAAAAAAGTTAAAAATAGAACTACCTTATGACCCAGTCGTGACACTACTGGGCATTTACCCAAAGAAAATGAAAATACTAATTTGAAAAGGTCTGTGTACCGTTATGCCGACCACATTTTTTATAATAACCAAGATAGGGAAACAGCCCAAGTGTCCGTCGACTGAGAAGGGATAAAGACAATGGTGTATGTATACAATGGAATAGTATTCGAAAAGGAACGAAATCTTGCCATTTGCCATGACAGGGTTAGAGCTACAGAGTACTATGCTAAGTGAAATCGGAGAAAGACAAACACCATATGATTTCACTCATGTGTGGAATTTAAGAAACAAGACAAACGAACAAGCAAAGGAGAAAAGAGACAAACGAGAAACCAGACTCTTGAATACAGAGGACAAAGTGGTGGTCGCCAGAGGGCAGGTGGGTGGAGGTGGGGGGAACACAGATAAAGGGGGTTCAGAGCACGCTTATTACCGTGGGCACTGAGGAGTGCGGAGAACTGTTGAATGATTACATTATACACCTGAAACTAACAGAACACTGCATGATCACTATACTTGGACTATAAACAATAATAACGAAGTTTGAGGAGATGTGTAACTTCCAGGTAAGAGCTCAGCAGGGAGGGGGAGAGAACAAATATCTCCTCCCTGTGAGCTCCTGCGGGGGGTCCCCGTTTTCTGTTTTCTGCCCCAACCTGGAGGCAGAAGTAAGGGGTCCACCGACATAGCCATGCAGCACAGTGCTGGGTGAGGGAGCAGCGTGAACCTGGGCAGGGGAGAAGGGAGGCACCAGGACACCCCAGAGACACCTGGTCCCCCTGGAGAACACCTACCTCCCTGGAAAGGACGCTCCTTGGAAAACAGTGAATGAATCTACCTCCAAGGTGAACCTAAGAGCTCTTACTCAGAAGGACACAGTGCCCGGTGGACACAGGCACAGACCCAGAGTCCAGAAAGGAATTCTAGGGTGACAAGGACGGTTTTAGGGTGTGACAATGATTTGGGCCATTCTGTAGAGGCGCACGTATCCTCAGAGACCCAAACTTCAGGGTCGCGATCCCCTTATCCCCTCTCTCTCCAGCAGATTCTCTGAGGAAACCCGGGAACTTTGATTTAAAGCCAAATCTGAGAGGCGCGCCTGGGTGGCTTGGTCGGTTAAGCATCCGACTCTTGATTTCAGCTCAGGTCATGATCTCACGGTCTGTGAGATCAAGCCCCACGTTGGGCTCTGTGCTCACAGCATGTGGAGGCTGCTTGGGATTCTCTCTCTCTCTCTCTCTCTCTCTCTCTCTCTCTGTGCCCCTCCCCCGTTCTCTCTCTCTCTCCTTCTCTTTCAAAATAAACAGACATTTTAAAAATAAAACATAAAGCCGAATCTGAGATGATTCAGGGAGCCCAGCCACTTGCCCTGCTCTGTGCTGTGTTGCTGAATTTCTTCCTAAGGACCCCGAGGCTCCCCGCTGCAGCTCCTCTTCTGTACCACATCCAGAGCTGTAAGTGATGCAGGCCCCATAATTTGTGGGGTTCCGCTCCCCCACCGACCGCCCTGGAGGTGGTTTTCTTCCGAAACCACTTTCCTCTCCGGCTGGCACTCCACGCCCACAGAGAGGTGGGACTTGCCCTAGAAGGAGCTGCCACGAAGCACCTGGACCGTGTGGCTCCGCCCCCGAGCTGACGTGACCCAGGCCACCCGGCCCTTCGCCCGAGACTCCACCGAGCATGCGTGGCACTGCCCATCCAGGGAAAGCGAGGTCTGGACAGGCCACGGGTGAGCCTCCGCTGGGCCAGCGATCGGGTTAGAGTTGAGCACCACTTAACCAAAAACCAAAAAACGGGTTAGAGTTGAGCACCAAAACCAAAAACAGTCCTGCAGGAAAACTCATCCGGCCCGGCTCTCGGCCAGCCAGTTAAAAACGGACCCGGATCCCTCGGAGCCTCACGCAGATCACTTCTGCTAGTGAAACAAATATTTTTCCAGGTTTTCCTGTGTTTCCTCTGTTGCTGCTGGCCGGGGTGGCGGTGCCCTGAGAAGCAGCCGCAGAAGGCGGAGAACAAGTGGAGATTTGGAGCCGCAGCAAACACATGCCTGCCGAGCAGAGGGGGTCTGAGTCCAAACAGAAAGACAGAAGAGGGAGGGATCATGGGTGCCTCTGAGTCACAGACGGCTTGTGAGTGCCAGCTCACCGGCACACACACGTGCACACACACACACACACACACACACACCCGAAGAACGATTCCAAATTCGGAGGCTGGCATGTAGTGTTTGTTCCTACCCAGGAAGAAGGACCCGGGCAGCTAACGACTTACTTGGGAGAAACAACTTGACCACACAGGTTCACGGTCTCCACGTGGCAACCATCAACAGGCTTTACCCCTTCGAGAGTGTAATTATCACAAACTCGCCTTGCCTCCCCGACGACCTTCATCCCAGAGAGAGGCCCCCACACGAGGTGTTGGTGTAAGGTCGGGACGTTTAGGACTTAGGGAAGCCGGCCAAGAGCAGGCCACGGGACTGTAGGTCTGGAACGCCAGGGCCGGAGAAGTCAGGCCTGCACGGAAAGCAGAATCTTCTAGCACAAGGTTTGTCCCTCCCCCGGCATCCCAAAGACCCCTTGACTGGAACCACTCGGCGTGGTGCCGCCTCCCGCTGCCATGCGCCCCCCGCAAACCCTCAGGGGCCCTTCTAAGCTTGGGGCTGCTGGCCATTCTCAGAAACGGTGCCCTCCTCCTGCACAGAGCACCCCTGCAAACTGCCAGCCTGGCCTGGCTGCACCCGAGGCCCCAGCCCGGCTCCCGCATGCACGTAGGAAGCGATGCATGAACACCTCTCCTCTGCTGAACTCCGGGCTCCTCTGCTGAACGTGGGCTGCAATAGCTTTTTAGCCACGAGCCCTTGCTAGGCCGCCTTGTAAAGCACAGCAGATGTGCTCCAGTCAAAGAGGGAATGGGAGAAGACCCCCACGGACCCCCAGGCATCTGGGAAGCACAGTTAGAAAGTGCTGGGCTAGCAGATCCCTACAGGGCCCTGCAGTTCCGGAATGTTATGATCCTGGGCCTCCTTGGGGACCCCAGATCTAAAATGCCCGCCTCCCCACCATCCCGCCACCCACCGCACATGAAACAACACTCCGTTCGCTAGCTGTGCATTCCTTCTTTCCAGGTCATTCGGTTGCAGGCAATCTGAAGAACTAGCCATTGCTTCAGACTTCAGATGGCATCGCTGGGTTGATGAGTCGGCTCTATGCCAAAGGGGGCCGAGCTGTGATGGGGATCACCCCGGTCCAACTGAGCAATGTTAAAACAGCCGTTTTTAAATTTCAAAAGTGACGTGTGAATTTTATAGGCAACTGATACACCGTAGAGATACATTGCAAAGGTGGGGCAAGCATCCCCCCCTTTTCCCCTCCAAAGCCAAGGTCTTGAGATGAAGCGCTCCTTGCATGACAGACTGTGGCAGCTTGGGTGAGCCTGGCAATAACGAGGTGCAGGGGAGAGGGCTCTGGCCAGTCAGAGCCTTTCCCTGGGACTCCAAAAACATAGGGGAATGTGAATTTGAACACACGCTCCTCTCAGCTCCTGCTACCTTCCTGAAATAAAGGGTTCGCCCCCCACCGACCTCACAAGGCTGGGAACAAAACCATAAAAGATTCAGACACCCCCACCCCCCACCCCGTGAAGTATGATGGCGGAGCTCCCTTGGTAAGCCAGAAATGATCCGCATTGGGTCACAGTCTGAGCTTTCAAACCACCGGGGGACAGGGGGTGGTCTGAGGTCTCTTTAAGTTGCTTTCAGTCTAGCAGGACTGGCAAGAAGCTTCAAGTCTGGCGTCACACGGCTGTACAGACTGCTTGAACACTTCTGGTGACGGGGAGCTCCCTACCTAGTTTTGGAAGAAGATCCCTGTAATTAGGAAGTCCTCCCTTCCAGGGAGCCCAGACCCTCTTCCGCTGCTAGGCACACCCCTTGGGGCCTCAGCTGGGCTCCCCACGTGTGGAAGCATCCGGCGCGCCCAGGCGTTCCCTGCTCCCCACGCTGTGCCCGACACTTCACTGAGTGAAAAGTTCCCACCTTACATCAGAGAAACGTCCCGGCATTATGAGGACACGCGTGTCTTTCAGGCTGGACTTTCGCTCCTCTACTGGCCAGACCTTCTTCCCTTGGGCTCAGCTGGGCACGGTGTTTCATGGTGCACGTCCTGTTTGTGGACCAGGGGAAGCTGTGGTCTGCCACCAGACAATACATCAAAGGCGGCTTCTTTCCAAAGTGGGGACTGTCTTGTTACTATTCTGGAACAAATGCAACCTAGCATTCCAGAAGGAAATCTCAGCCTGAAGGGCCCTCTCCCTGCCTGAGATCTGCGCGCTTCCTCCCGGGGCCTGGTCTGCGTTCCATGCCTTTGTCAGACGCTCTTTCTCTTGGGGGAATCTGGGCACACAGGGCATCTCCCCTTCTTTCCCTGGAGGGTCCTTCCCCGGCCCCACGTTCTGACTGCGAGCTAAGTGAGGGTTGCAGAGGGCTCCCACTGAGCTGTCTGGCTGAGGGGCCCCCAGAGACCCTCCTTACAGGAAGCCTGGGGGCCTCGTGCCCGAAGAGGCTCCTGGCAGGACCAGGGGAACAGGTTAGCATCAGTCTGGCACCGTCTCTGCCTCTCTTACCCTTCCCACAAGCCAAGTGGACCACGCAGAAGGGCAGGCTCTTCTAGAAGGGACACGGGTCCCTGTCCTGCGGTACAGCAGACCCAAGGGCAGGAGACCAGAGACTGGCTGGAGCAGGGCTCACCCACGTCGGGGATGCAGCTGCGCTGGTGGGACCCTGTGCGCAGGGGACAGTGCACCCCCTGGAGAAGGCCAGCGATGGTGCCTGGGGTGACAAGGTCGCTCCAGAACCCACAGCACCTTGCCCCCTGCATGCCTCTTCTTCGTCCGGGGCCAGACGGCTGTGGCCCAGAATCTGGGAGGGCAGCTGCCCGGCTGGGCCCCACTCCCACGCTTCTGGGAACATTGCCCTCCACGCACGCGCTGTCCGTGACTGGTGCCCACAGCTCCTCCCAGTGTGGGGAAGGACACGGTGCCCGCTGGCTGCCTCCTTGGAAGCGGCTGCTGGCCGGAAATGAGGGCGGGGGGGGGCAGTCTGCATGAAGACCCAGGGAGGAGCAGCACCCACCGTCCTGCACGCCCGTCTCGAATGCCACCTGTCCGTGCAGAGCCCCCCCCACGCCGTTCTCTTTCGAGCCCTTACAGCAACAGGCTTCCCTGAGGGCTGTCACACGCATCCGGGAACGCTCCGTTGTCCTGGATGGGCAGACTGTCCGGCACAAAGAAAGTTCTCCAAACTATTTCCCGGACTGAGTTTCCAACAAGGAGCCCCCTGCCTGGGGACAGCTCTGGTATCTTCCGTCCCATGGAATCCACCAGCTGCTTCCATTGTCCTCTATAAGTGATGAGGCCACCCTGTCTGAAACCCCTGTCTCAGAGACAGGAGAGACGTTGGAGAATATAGTTGTTCCCACTCAAGATTATCGCAGGCTTTGGTGTCTTCGGGCCCAGAGAAATAACAGATGATCCCGTCCATAACTCTCTTCCAAGCGTTCCTTATATGGAAGGGAGACTCATCTTGTAGCCATAACTCAGCTTTATGTGGGTGCACTTTTTTTTTTAAGTTTTTACGCGTGTTCCCTTCCACAGAGACAGGGCTCGGGGTAGTGCTTCATACATCGAGAATAACGTGTTAGTAAATATTTTAGCGCATCGACCCTCCACAGTTAGGCACCTACCGTTGCTGTCTGTGAAACTTGGGATCTTTGATCAAGTGCCTTGGGCTGTTTGTCTTCTTCCCCCACCGCTGGGTGACCTGGACCGTATAAGTATTTAATCAAATTGTTCTGCATGGGAATTTCAAGTATGAATGACGTAATCTCCTGCATAAGAAAAACCACATTGACCTTGATCTTGCAGTCATGTCTCTGTCCTCTGGACCCCCGCACACTGCGCCCCCCCCCCCCACACACACACCCCGTCTGGAGAGAGCAAGCCGGGAGTCCTCTCAGGGAGGAAACTGCGAACGAATTGGATGTCTAAATAATGTCAAGGGTTCTCTGAGCCCTTCTATAAAGCACACCTTTCCCAGTGGCTGGAGAAACTCACAGGCAGCTAGGCCTAATCAGGCATACGCATCCATAAGTATCTTGTCCTCAAGCCAGCTTCTAAATTAACTGCAGTCGTGGGGGAAAAATGCGAGGAATTATGAACTATAAACAATGACACATAACCAAAACCAACGGGTAGGGCTTAAAGGGGTGAGTCGTGCTTTCTCCTAAAATTACGTTTGGAGTTCTGTGCAAACCTCTAGCTCAGCCACTCAGGGTCTTGCCTGAAATAGATTCCAGTCTTTGCCTCTTTGTCTCGGTGCTCCTGGCTTTGTCTCCAGGCCGCATGTGCGAGACAGGAAAAGGTCCACGTGGGCGCTGAGTGTGGGGGCGTGACCGCAAGGTCAGGGAGCAGTAGATTGTTCTTGTCCGGAGATGCTTCGCAAAAAGTTGGAAATGATTTTTGAGAGGTTCAGATGTCTTAAAAGAGGCATAATCTATTTTATTTAAAACAGTCTTGCAGGTCAAGCGATCCATCGATAGCTGTTCATCGAGAACAGCAGGAAAACTAAAACTAAAACTAAAATTGGCTCTGTGTCCCAAACTGGTTTAGGATACATTTCCTAGAGGGGAGGAGCCAGGCTACCCGGCACGACTGGTGAGGCACAGAGGTCCAGCCCTGCCACTTCCTGCCAGCTCTGTCGCTCTGGGCTAGCTATCGAACACCTGGAGCTCTGGTTTTCTCATCTGTAAAATGGGGATAGCAGTTCTTGCCTCGGGGTCTGTGGAAGGTGAAATGAGGAGGTACCCAAGGGGCCTGGCACAGGCAAGTCCTCCATGAAGGTGGGTTACCACCGTTATCTGTAAAATAACGCCCCAAGGCACCACGAGACGCAGCAGGTTCGCGGCACAGTCTGTAAACTGATGGAAGCTCAGAGAGAGTCTCTGATGGGCGGGGATCAGGGCAACACAGAGACTCTGGAAGAAGATCTTCACAGAGGAAAATGTTGAGCCGGAACCATGTTCTAAAAGTCCGGTCAAGAGCCCCGAGAGTAAACATCTCAACCATGACCCTCACTCTTCTTGGGCTTGGTTTATTCCAGTCTTGGCCAGACAGGATTGCTTTCTCATAAAGGGTGAGGTTTGGGGCTGTCTGCTTTCATTCTGCTGGCCTGCCTTCCGTCCTGCACACCACGTCCCACTGAGCGACTCCTGGCGAGAGGGCCTTGTCACGGTGCTCCCGGGGTGAGACTGCAGAATACCTCCAGTGACCTGAGAGCAAGATCCCTTCCGGGAAAAAGACCCACCCCTTTTCCTACCAGGCGAGGTAGACCTGGAAGGGCGAAGGGCAGACTGGGGGGACTACAGGCCACGTCCTACACTTAGAATTCATTCTACGCACCCGTCCCCACCGTATGGCTGGCCTTGGCCCAGACCCGGGGGGAAAAATGCCAGCAGACCCTTCTGGAGCCCCCACGGTTGCCTAAATCTTGAATGAAGGGTTGGCCAAGGGTCAGGGTGCATGGGAGTCTGTGGAGAGTCAGACGAAGGCTACGTTGGGATAATTCCTCATGCGACCTGTTTATTGATCATGCGCTGATACAGACGGTGTGCCTGCTGAAGGGTGCAAAAATTAAGCAGGAGTTCAGTGCTCCGGGTTCTCCGAGAGCTTGACTCACATCTCGTTATAGTTCAATTACGTCGCCCTGTAGTTGTTGACTCATTGCTTTCTCCGCTGGACTCTAGGAACTGGCTGTGTCTTTCTCATGTCGAATCCCCAGCACCCAGCCCCGGGGCGAGCACACAGCAGGCCCCCAGCTCGTGTTTGTTGTGTTCAATAATGTTGAGTCCACGACTCCGGGGCTTACAGTCCTAGAGCATGGTCCGCACTGGTCCTCAAAGGCTCATGGGCGATGAGGGACGGCCGTGGGAGTTTGGGAAGGCGTGAACTTCACGGACAAGGTGACTCTTGACAGGGTTAGAGATAGGACGGGAGCTTCGGAGGCGGAGGGGAGAATCCCAGGTAAAGGGAAGGACACAGAAAGGGGCACAAGGGCGCTTGGGAAGCAGGAAGTCGAGGTCTGCTGGCACGAGCGGCATGTGGGAGGAGGCTTGGGATGACCATAGAGGCAGGCCGAGCAGGTGCCGAGGCTGGGGTCGGTGCTCCCATCCCCCATCCTCGTCACATCCTCCCAGCCATGATCATCGTAATAAAAATGACGCTTCACACGGGCAAGGCACGTGATTTTACCTGAATGGCTCCTTCAGTGCCCACACTCTGCAGGGGGGGCCTTCTGCCTTCCAGGTGGGGAAACCGAGGCACAGGACACTTAAGGACGTTTCCCAAAAGCTCAAAGTGGCAGGGTGAGGATTCAGACCCTGGGGTGTAGCTGCAGAGCCCACATCCTGCCTCTCCTTGACCTTTCCCTTCCAGAGATCACGGTCGCCTCGTGTGTCCCCCGCTTGCTCCTGACCACGGCCAGCGTCCTGTACCCACAGGGTATTTGTGGCACAGCCAGCTCTCAGGGTTGGGAAGCAGTCTGACTGCCACAGCCCTGGCTCGAAAAGATATGATGTGTCCCCAGGACCTCCTGTCTGCTCTCTCTACCCCACGCGTCAGCACCTTGGTCGTCTTGTTCCCAAAGCCCTTGGCTGTCTTCTGCTGACACAGCCCTTTCGAGCATCTTCCCACAGCCGCTGCTGCTGTGCCCACATCCGCAGAGCACGGCCACCCAAGGGCACCCAGAGCTGGGGGCCACTTTGGCAAGCGGAACGCCTGTCCCCACCCTCAGTGCCTGTCGGCCTCCACGCGCACTGCTGAGGTCTCTACCTGGAACTCCCGTGGGCTCCCATGGTCCAAGTGGGACCACGTGGGGGGCCAGTTCCCTGTTAGTCTCCATGTCTGCCCTGGGAACCTCATTGCTCCCCACCCATGCACGGTCAGGAAGGACGGGCTGGGGTGCTGGAGGCCCCTCTCCTAATCCAGCCTCAACAGAGACCACCCTGCCACCACTGGCCCCTTGTTTATATGCAAGTCTTTTATGTTTTAATTTTTTTATGTTTTTTATTTTATATGTGAGAGAGAGACAGAGAGAGACAGAGCATGAGCAGGGGAGGGGCAGGGAGACAGAGGCAGAATCGGAAGGCGGCCCCAGGCTCCGAGCCGTCAGCACAGAGCCCGACGCGGGGCTCGAACTCACGAGCTGTGAGATCATGACCTGAGCTGAAGTCGGACGCGCAACCGACGGAGCCACCCAGGTGCCCCCATATGCAAGTCTTCCACATGAATTGTCATCGTCTATTTCTCCCCTTGTCTCTTCTTTTCAGGCCTGACTAGGCAGAGTCAAAGTAAAAGTCAGATGGTAAACTGCCCCATTTCCTCCCTACCTGGACATTCTAATAAAAAGATCTGGTCGGAGTTCCATACTGAGATGTTTAAGAACGGAACAGTGTGATGTCGGGATTTGCTCAGAAATGGCACGGGGGGGGCGGGGGGTGGGGTGGGGGGAGGGGTCAGGGGTATGGGTGGCCTGAGGCTGGTTGGGAGTCGATCATTGTCGATGACGAAGGCGGACAGAGGCTCGTTCCCACAACCTGATGACTCTCGTATGTGGACAAATCTAGTCCCTGTAAAATCCTCCCACGTAAAGCACAAGACTCATAAAAACGTTTCAGAAGTTGGCTGGATAAGCTGTGCAAACCCGTGGCCATGGCACCGCCTCGAAGCTTCTCTCGTTGTTTCGCTTCCCCACATAAAATCGGGGGCCCTGTGAGCTGGGGACAGGTGGGACATGGCTGGCGGTGTGTTGCCAGTTCAACAAACCAGACGGAGTTGGAACTGAAGTCTGGGAGGGCGGTGCGTCCGGGCCCCGCCAGCCACGGAGGCCCCCCCCCACCACCCCGGCTGGGCTGCCCCACAGGCCCGACGTTGGCAGTTCCCTCGGCAAAGCTGCGGCCCTGGTCTGGACACACATCTGCAGAGTCCACGCTCTGACTCTTTCTGAGTCAGCGAAACGCTGACGTCAACAGTGAGGCCCGCGACACATCTCAGAGGAGCGAGGACCTGGAGGTGGCCCGCCAAGTGCGGACGCCAAAAACAACAGACTGCCGGAGGGCGTCAAGATGGGGCGCTGAACAAATGGTGTCGTGGGAATTCTCCCTCCACCTTTGGACAGAGGAGCCAAAGGGATGTCTGGAGGCTCTGTTGTGAAGGAATTTCAGGCTCCCCGGGGAAGCCAAGACATCTTAATTCTGTAGCTTCCTGTTCCTGGCCCGGCCCCTCGTCCATGAATCTGGCAGGGTGACTCTGGAGAAAGATATTGCTGGCCTTGGGGCAATCTTGGGGTTGGCTCAGGATCGTTTGAGAATGCAGTGCCCCCAGTCAGTTTCCAGGGGGGCAGCCTATCGGGAGGTCGCCCTGCCCCAGCCCCTCAACCCACCCTTTCCGCCATCTTGGTGGTCCGGGAATCATGGGTCTGTGGTGCCAGTGCCTGGCCTGGGCTGGACTCCTCCCCGCTCCTGACTCTACATTGAGCCCAGGGGGTAGCTGGTGCCTTCCCTTTAGTTCTAAGGGAGCTTAGGGGACACGGCCTCCCTTCTCCATTGACTTCCTTCTGAAGACCAGGGTCCAGGCTGTCCCCTTCCATCTTACGGAGGCTGGAAGAGATTCAGAGCTGAGAGAGCAGGCTGAGTGGGCCCAGGCTGGACTCAGGTGGCACTTTCCAGCATGGTGTTGGCTGCCACGACTCGGTCCCCTCCCCTCTGTCACTTTAATTCAGCCCACTGACGGCTGTTGCTGGTGTCCACAGCAGCAGCCTTTATGTGACCTCCATGTGTCATCTTGGCTGCTCCATTCCATTCCCACAGAGCCGCCAGAGTCAGCTGTTTCAACCACACATCTGAGTATTGCACCCTGTTTCT